GCCAGCCCTGCCCCCTGGTGGGCTGAGCTGGCCACACACACACACACACACACACACACACACACACACACACAAATAAATAAATAAATAAAATTTTAAAAAAAATAAAGCAACTGCAACCAGGGACTCTGTTATCATAAGTGTCCACATTTTTAAACATTGATACAACATGATGACCTAATACAACATTTGAATGTTGCTTTGGTACCTGATTTGGCAAAGCAAAAGCTATAAAATGCCTGGAGTCATTGATGAAATTTTGAATCTGGGCTGTATTTTAGGTAATATTCTGTCAAGTGTTACATTTCTGCAGTGTGTTTCTGATAGAGTGGCTTTGAAGGACAGTGTCCCTTGGCATTGCATGTTGAAATATTGAAAGATAAAATATCCAAAGTAAGAGTGGTTGTCACATAACATCTGCAACCTACTTCCAAAACATTCCATTCCAAGGCGAACAGCTGTGTGCATTTGTCACACAACAGCATGGAAGAACATGGACATAGGCTTAATGCTTGGGGACAGGTGGAGGGCACGAGTGCTCCTGTCACTCCTCTTGCCTTTACAGTAGGTTTTACTTTTCAGAATGAAACCTGGGAGAAGGCAGCACAGCATACTCTTGAGGATGACAGGGAGCAGCAGTGTGACATCAAGCCGCCCTGGCCACATGGGTCACTGTGACCTATGCAGCCCCACAGAGAGTGATGCTGGGGTGTGGGTCTTTTTTAGGAGAGAGATGGTTTCAAGAAAAAGCATTCAGTCACCCTTTCACCTAAAGAGGTTTTCTTTCACAAGCCCATGCTTTTCCTTACAGTTTTTAAGAATAGGGCTGAGTCAGGAAACGAGTCTGAGTTCAGAGGCTGTGTGACTTAGGCTCCTGACATCAGCAGTGACGACGTGTCCCTCAGCAGCCAAATGGACACATAGCGTCTTCATTTTCAGCTCTCTGTAAGAGGTATTGCAGAGGATTTTGTTCTCTTTGCTCAATAACTGTGTTTATTGCCTAATTTGTAGTAGTTGCTTCCTACACTGTTGCGTCATGAGGAGGATGCAATAGTGGCATGGCTTTTAGCAGCTCTAGTCAGTGTAGCTTGCCTCACTTCAAGTCTTCACTTGCGCACTGCTGGTGTATTGAGAGGTCTGCAGCCATCACCACGCTCAGGAGTAGAACATTGGCGTCAATAGCAAGGTTTTAGTATCTTTAAGCTTTCTCTGGTAGGGTTTGTGTTTTCGCATTTCTGTCTCAGGTGGCGTCTCGGACTTGCTCTGGCTCTTTTCCCACTCTCCGTCTGTCTTCGTTTGTGCCCAGCCCTCAAGTACCAGGGTAACAGGTGCATACCACCATTGGAAGCATGGTACAGCAGCGAACGCAAGGCCTCGGGCTGCAGTACAAGGCTCCACCGGGGGCCTATGTCACTGGCCACATTCTCTGTGTTTTTACTGAGCTTCCCAGCTCGTAAACAACCCCTAAGCGCCTAGCTTTCCATGTGTGGACAGCATTGCAGGGTGCACAGCTATCCAGAGACTCCTTATTGTACCACATGCATTCAGCCAGGCACCTGCTTACCACATTCCTAGAACTCTGAGCTCTGGTACCAGTTTATTAGTTTTCCCTATATTTCTGTAACATATGTACAGAGATCCATCTCCTCTCTGTGCTGTGGTCGCTTAGTACCCTTCGTCTCCAGCAGCATCAGGAGTTGGCTGCTATCTTGGGCCTGTGTGTGAAGCTAGTGTCATCTAGCAGCTGACTGCTGCCAGCTTGGCCCTACCCGGTGTGGGTTACCATGCGGCTTGTGTGTGTGCGGGGCCCGGAGCTTGCCTTCCAGGGGAGAATCTCAGATGATCTGATCTGGGGGGCTGTGAGCAGAGGACAGTTTGGTGCTGGGGCCTCCCTTGTGCATGTGGGTCCCTCACCTGTCTCCTCTGAGGGCCTCCCATCACTCACTGCTCACCCTGCTGTGTCGTTTCCTGACCAGGTGAGGAAAATAGCAGCAGAATACTACGACAGCCTGCCCCACTACAATTCCTGGGTCAAAGTGCTGTACGACTTTGTGATGGATGATACCCTCAGTCCCTACTCCCGAATGAAGAGGCCGCCAAAAGGCCAGGAGGTCCTGGAGTAAATCCCACCCCAGCAGAGGGATCCCCTGCGAAGCCAGAAAAGAGCCCACCCCGCGTGTTCTGTAAGAGGAAGCTTCGGGTGGGCGAGGCCTGGAGCCACCTCCCGCCACCTGGGACCACAGACTCCCTGGAGTCAGCCGCCCTGTGCTACGCCTGCCTCGCTTGTGTGATGGTCCCTGGGGGGCCTCCACCCAGGTCTGCGACTGTGTAAGCCAGTGTCTTACGAAAACAGCTAATAAACTCACCTATTAATTGCACTGTTTTCGTATTTATTTTGGTTTTGTGTGTCACTGCATTTACACTCTGATCACTGGTGGACCTGGAAACTTTCATTCCAGACATACAGTTTGCAAAGGACTGCAGTAAGTGTTGGCTAGAAGGCTGAGCTCCACGAGTGTTGAACTACGAATGTCCGCTTTTACTAGCCCCCTACAGCAGCCATCCAACAGCCTCAGCAGTGGACCACCTTGAAATTTCTTCTGAAGATTAATCAGTCCGCTGCCTTTAATCTCTTCTCAGGCAAAGTCCCTAGACAAGAGCAAGATGCAGACAAGTTTTTGCTAAGCCATAACACACATCATCTGGACTCCAGCAGCCAGTTCAGTCCTTCTCAGCAGAAACCTCCTGAGCCTGGTCTTTACCAACAGGATTACCATCAGCTTTCTGGTCTTCTGAGCTCTGACCAGAATCTCCCACACACAACAGCCTAAGGCATTCCAGTGCTTCGCCTTCAGGTGAAAGCTAAAACCTTCCAAATACTTCCCACAAGTGACTTCCACAGGCTCTTGAACAACATAGGTAGAGTCACAGCCGCAACTCCACTTCTCTGATACCAAATTCTGTCTTGGTTAGTTTTCTCTCATTGCTGAGACAAAATACTCAACACCCAAAATTCAAGAAAGGTTTATTTAGCTCAGTTTGTGGAGGTTTCAATCCAAAATCAATTAGCTCCAAGACAGGGTGGCAAGTTGAGGGGCAAGCAGAAGAAAGTAAGAGCACTAAAAGGGGGGAGCAAGCCTCTTTTCCTCCCCGCGCCACCTCCTCCCCTCTTCTACAAGCCGAGGGTGAACATCAAGTTAGCGCCCTGCAGAATCCCTTGGCTAAACTTAAACATTGACACTATGATATCCTAGAGCGGAAAGGGCAGGTCCTTCATATCCTAAGTTGTAGAACTGCTTAGTTACTTACTTAAGCTAAACTCAGGCTGACAAAATGTATCAACCCTAAGAGGTGGTGTGTCACCTTTCCAGTTGTCTGTGCTGTGGCTTCATTCAGGAGGGACACTGCCTGCCAGCTATGCCCTCAGGGTCTCCCGAGCGCCCGAGCGTGCCAGGCATTAAGGCTGTTTCTGCACAGCACAGGACGCTGAGTCCAGAAGCCCGTCCTGCTGCCCTTACTTTGCAGACCTGACAGTGGAACAGGCCCGGGCAACGCTGTCGGGTTTCAGTGCTGTAGCGGCAGCTTTCCAATTCTGGTCATGCAGAAAGGAAAGCGGAACTCCCCAAGCCCTCGCGAGTCTCCCAGCTTGGCACAGACGTGCGCACTGGGGCTGCTGCGCCCTCTGGCTGTTCTCTTGCCTGGCTCAGGGCACCACAGGACCCGATGCCAGGGGCAGCCCCGGGTCTCCACCAGGGCTGGCGAGGGGCAGGGAGACAGGCTGAGGGAAGATGCAGGGATCCCTTCATGCGTGGGGGTGGAGTGGCCCATAGCTCAGTGGCCTGGCGCCTCACTCTAGTCGAGGTACGTGGCACTCCCTGAGGCGCCCTGGCTCACCCTGGCTGTGGAGCCCTCCCCTGTGCTGTGTCCTCTCCAGGGCTCAGCGAGGAGTGTCGGCACGTGTGGGAAGCATCCATGCAGCAGTGGCGACGCCTCCAAAAGCACAGGCTATAAAGGAGATGATCTCCAGGGCGCTGGCGACTCATCTCAGATGGCTTGAGCTCCCAGGGTGGCAGAAGCAGCGCCTGCTGCGCCCCTCCCCGGGCCTCAGCCCAGGCCTGGCCGCCAGCCACCCTGGATGCCGCCCTGTAATTACCTGTCCAGAGTCTGTGCGCCCATGGGTGGAGAGCGGTATGCTGTTGGGAATCTGGGCTCGCAGAGCAGGGGTCTCTGGGATCAGCGTCGCCCCCTCCCCATCTTTTCCCACGCTCCAGGCAGAGGCCTGAGCTCCTCTCTGCAGCCAGCCCTGGCTCAGGCCTGCAGTGCCGGGGCAGTGACTGCTCCTCACCCGTCAGGCCCCGGCTCCCCTCAGGCGTCTCTGGCTGAGGAAAATAACAGCGTGAGCAAGGGTGTAGAAAGAACTTGTCCTACCCAGCACAGTTACATAATGGGAAGCCCAGCTCTAGGAGGAATAAGGCGGGCGCTCCCTAACCATACCTGCCTCCCTGTGCCTCTGCCTGGGGTGCGTGTGCGTGGGGACCTGGGCCCTGCCGGGTGCCGTGCTGGTCCCCGTGGACTGAGTGGGCTGTGGGTGCTCACATGGGTGCTGGCCCCTCGTATGGCCACGAAGACAAACAGGAAAGCACACATACCTTACGCAAAGGAGAGAGTCAACATGCAGATGAATGTCGAAGTTCAAAGTTCATGAATTATATGAGATTTACAAGGAATTTTGGTCAAATTCAGAGCCCTCTTTTCACTTTCTGATACCTGGGGTTCTTGGGAGAATCCATTCAGTCTCTCCTAGCTCAGGGGTTCCTGCAAGGCCAGAAGTTGCTTGGCAGCCAGCCTGCCCCAGTGCTACTGTGCAGCTGAGGCAGGAGCTGAATCACAAGTCAGAGCACGACAAACAAGGATTTTCAGAGACAGCTCAGAAAGGTGCTTTCCAAGCTCCACCATCTGGCGAAGCCCAGTTTGGAACAGGCAGAAACCAAGGCACCACTGGGCATTACCCAGGTGCCAACCAGAAGGGGAGGTGAGCATGTGACTGTCCTGGGCCTTCCAGCCCCCACTTCACCCCTTCCCCTTGTCTCAGCCCCCTCACCCCACCTTTGTCTACATCTCTCTGACTCTTTCATAGCAAGGTTTTAAAATAGTGGTAGTGTTGTAGGCAGCTGAATTAGATAGAAATAAATAGTCAGCAGGGCTGTGTCTTTTAAGGAGTCAGGATGGATGACATGATGCCTTGCAACTGTGAGGAAACAGGCACCTCCACCGTGGGCCAGACATCAAGACAAAAGAGTAAACAAATAGAGCCACATGCCTCCCCAGGGATAAACATCAAGGATGATGCTCTAAATAGGTATCAGTCACCTTGAAAAAGCCCCCAAAGAGTCAGTAACCCGACCCCATGCAGAAAAAACCCTGTTCCATATTCATGTCTGCTTTGTACATGACTGACTACCCCATCTGATCCCAATGTAATCAATTTTACCTGAGCAATCATGCTTGTGATCTTATTAGTTTACCATAGTTTTGTCTGACTTCATACCCATCTTGCCAGTTCCCATGTTTTGCACCTTAGGCTCCCCTCACCTCATGGATTTGCTTTATAAAAATCAGTGTCCTTGACACCCCACTTGGTCCCTTTTTCTTTCTTTCTTAGGCAGAAGCTTTCTCTCCCTCAATAAATACATTCTGTTCTTCACCTCTGTCACTTCTAAAGTTCATTCTTTGCTTTATGAGAATGTGAGCTGGTCCTGGGTGCCCTTCAGGTTGGGAGCTTCTTTCCACTGTGTCACTTGGGGGTCTTGGGGGTTCCACCGCGATCACTGCATGGAGGTAAGGGTCTGCTTTTGGGTCATAGACTCTGGATCAGGACTTCCTTAGGTAATGCATTTCTGATGGGTTTCTGCCCATATGGAACTCTGCCAAGGTCATCATAGCGATGATCCAACATGGCACTGGGCCCCAAATGACAATGTGTCCCTCCAGGACTAACTTCCGTATTCCTTTTCTAGTCCCCGAGTAATAACTTCCAGTTTGTTTTCACATACACACGCCAACAACCTGCCAGTCTTCTCCCAACGGGACACTGCCCGACCGTGTGAACTCTACCTCTAGTCCAACCCAATGAGACCCCACTTCTAGCTTCCTCTGCTGAGGGTCCTTGCAGCCCTGGCAGCCCTCCTGAGCTGGCAATAAAGGTCTTCTTCTTCACCTGTCAGTGTCTTGCAGTTGTACCAAAACCTTACAATTTTAATATTTCATATTTTGTTATATCTTTGTCCATTGCTTATAATTGCTTGTGCTTTGTCTCTTAAATGGTTTTATTGAAATGCTGGCAAAACTAAGTTAAAACATGGAAGAGTTATAAGGTTATGGCATTTCTTTATCGGGTCATTTTATTACTGTTTTGGTCTTGTATATGTCACTTTTGAACTAGTTGCTAAAATTACTGGTATCCTTGGCTTTATTTAGAAGATAACGCTAGACAGAGTAACATTAGAGTGCCCCTAGTGAACTTTAATATAAACTTCTGTAAAATTGATCTTTTAAAATAATATCTAGGGGCCGGGGAGACGGCTCAGTAGAATAAGCGCTTGCCTGGCAAGCTCAAGGGCCTGAGTTCAATCCCTGGTTCCGCAAAAAAATAAAAAAACCATCTAGTTCAGACTTAGAAAATGTTCTACTACACATGCCTGTATAGTAAAAGACCAGACTTCATCCACCATTGAAAATGACATCAGGTCTATGACCGTGCATGAGACTTGGAGGACGGTTTCACTGGGAGAGATCAGCTCTGATCCTCCTTTGCACTCTAAGGGAAATGGGAAGCCTGCCTTGCTTCAGCTTCCTTTCTTTGACCTTCCTTCTAATTTTTCTAGTCTTTGTGCTTTCCTTTTTAGAGGCATGTAAAATTAGGAAAACTGTAGACTGCTTCAACTAAGTGAAGCCCTTAGAAAATGAGCATTTGTTAATGCTGAAGACAGAAGTCATTTTAGAGGAAGACGCCTTCTCCTCTCTGGGCTAGATGAAGCATCAAAACTTTGCCCATCCAGGAGGACACACATAAAGCCATGTCCTGGCTTAGTGTTCTGGGCAGCCCTCCCTTAGAAGGCTGAACCTGGGACGCAGTGGAGAGAACCGGCTTCTGGGTGACGCCAGAAGGAGCTGTCTCCTAAACAGCACACTTATGGGACCAAAACACACTCAGTGTGAGGGAGAATCTCCATCCTTTCCTCTTCTCCCAGGTCTACTTATCATTTATGTGTATAAAAAATACTTTGATAATAAGTTGCAGACTTTAAAACCTTTACTGTAGGGGCCGGGGAGATGGCTCAGTGGAATAAGTGCTTGCCTGGCAAGCACACAGACCTGA